AACCTACAGTATTAAAATAAATTAAAAAATGGTTAGGGAGGTATTTCAGCTACCTCTTGCTGTTGTCAAGGAAGCTTTGTAGCAGGCGGTGGTGAGGATGGGAAGCAGAGACTGGCTGGCTGCTGCTGGGCAGAACATCCCAGCGGGAGATCATGCAGAAAGGAGTAGGGGGCCAGGGTTTGGAGCAGGTGCTCCTGCTATGAGCTCCTGAATCTTCATCCTAATGCTCACCTTTGCCAGTGGCAGGCAGGCAGTCTGCAGCACATCCCTCCCTTTCTCCAGTGCCTCTCTGCTAAATCTGTTCAGAAATAAAAAAGAAAAAGGTGTTGAAGGAGGGAAGATGTGGGAAAACTGCCTTGGAAAAATAACTCTGGTGTAATATAGGAAAAATTGTAACTTATTTTGTTGAAACAGACTCAGTTTAGAGGAGGAATACTTAGGAATACGTTAGAGAAATCTTTAAGCAGCATCCAAGAGAAACAGTGTAGGAGAAAAAGATCTGAGGTAGATGAAGATATGGAGATGCATTAGCTGATAAATAGCATGTAGCAGGCTCTGGGCACTTCCCCATAACTGTGCCTTGGAAGGACAATCTTAGTCTTCCTTTCAGCAATTCCAAATCTGTGGTAGAGGAAGAGAGGGATGCGTGGCTTAGCTCTCCCTGTCCTCAGCTGATCAGAAGCTTTCCATTGGCCTGATGTTTAATTCTAATATCCAGAGCTTGTTCCTTTAAGCATTTATACCTCCAGTCAGGCCTCTAGTCCCACTGCCATGTGGAGCCATAAACAAGGATAAACATTAATTAGTATGGTAAATAGCTTGGCCTTGTGTTTTCTGGTTACAGTATCGTGGTAATTATTTCCGGCTCCCTGCCTGTGTACTCCTGCTGCCTGATTTTGTGCTCTGTACATCCTTGCCAGCCTGATTATCACTGGACACATTAAAATTGGCAATTGCTCTCTCCTGTCTCCCATCTACTTCTCCCATCCACTTCTTGGTGGGGGGACTGGCCTAAGGCCATTTTACCAAGGTGATCAGGGATGATTGAGGGGTGACGGGTAATATCAGACAGCTTTCTGTCTTTGAGGGGCTGTAACTTAATGGGCAGAATGCAAGGCCATGCTGAGATGACATAGCACAGCATTTTCAGGGAACTCACCAGTGGTCACCAGGGCTTTGTAAAATACGGAAAGAGAAATGACCAGATGAAACAGCTGGGCAGCTCCTACCTGTGTATCCCATTGTTTAGGTTTTTTTCTCTCTCCCTTTTGGCTGCCTTGCTGCAGCAAACAGCTTTGTCTCTGACAGAGGGTCTGATTTCATTCTGGATTTTGGCCCTGTAGGAATGGATGTACACCTTCACTTGAGCATACATGAGGTTGCTCAAGGTCCTGCTTACTGGTGAGGGACAGATCCTCATCTTGGTCTCTGGGCCAAGATCCCAAGCTTAGCTTCTCCACATGCAGTATGGTTGCCTTGGCATCTATATACACAAGCTGCAGCCAGTTGAGAGCCTATGGGTTCAGGGGCCTGAGACCTTCCGACCAGCTGTGTGGAGCCTGTTCCAACTTGTGAGACAGGACTCATTTCTCTCTAAACTCCCTCCAGTTAAAAGAGTGCATGTTTTGCTATGTGCTGTGCTTTTATCTTGTCTCTGCTCTTCTCCAACATTCCTGACTCACTTTTTCCTTCTGAATATCCTTCCTCAGCCACCCTCCTCCATACTACAGTTAAATATGTGTCTCTGGCTTCATTTGCATCCTGCCCTTTCCGATGAGTACACAGGAAGATCAGGAGCACTGGAGGCAGTTTCTGGAGCTGGGGTAATTGCGCATTCACTCCCTCTCTTCCAGTGGCCAGGAGTAGCGTGAGCAGTTTGTTAGAACTCTCTCTCAGGTCCTGTTTTATTCATGGTTTCACCTGTTAAATGTCACCAAAATGGTTGCATTTTCCCAGTTATAGCTGAACTCTCCCCTCTTTCCCCCACACAGGTACACTGCCTTATAACCCCCGTGGGCCTGGTTGGTTATATTTTGCAGCACTGTAGGGTTCATTGCCAGATGCATTGGCTGCTCCTGATGTACACAGGCATGTGCCTTAGCTGACCCAGTTTTTTAGTTTGCTGGAGATATATGAGTGTTATTATTCATAAAGTGTTGCAAACACATGCTGGGCTCTGTGAGACTCTCAGGAAGACAAAATAAATGGGTATTGCTCAGGAAGAAATGGCCAGGGGAGAGACAGCTGCTGTTTCTCCCCGAAAAGAACCACAATAGCAACGCCTGGTTGTGGTGGTGGCCACAGGCATTTGGGATTAGACATCCACAGAAGACAGGCCTGGCAGTATCCTCAGGATGTCACTGATTTCATATTCATGTCAGGATGATCAATGCATGCATTGTTCCCAAGAGGTTTTGGCTGGCCTGGTTTCGAAGCCCCAAAGTGCAGGCCATCCCCCTGCATCCTCAGGCAGTCTGCGTGTTGTACACCTTGTCTTCCTTACCACTATGTGCCCTGTACTGCAATGTAAGCCTCTTATTGCTTCTGTCCACTGTGGACGCTAAGAACTGAGAACTCTTCTCCTTTTATAGCAAACTTGCAAGTATTTGAAGACTGTTATTGTGCCCCTTCTCAATCTTCTGTAGTCTAAACAGCTTCATTTTGCTCAGTACTGGTGGGTCATGCTTTCTGCATCTCTTATCATGCTGGCATGATTCTCCTAGCTATTTGGAGGAGTGCTGTGCTCTCCTCCCCCATCACTCTGAAGCTGATGGAAGAAAAACTGTCCATCACCCAAGGAACTTTAAGTCCTTACAGAGAGGCATACTATCCTTCACTCCTCAAGTATGACTTTGATGCATGTCATTTTCCAAGACAACTGAAGTAATTCATCAGATTTTCCTCACAAGGCTTGGATTGGAGTGCATTGCTGTTCACTAAGGCAATTAATTCTAGCTAAATCTGTCCTTAGATGTGAGCCAAAAGGGTGTCTAGAGGCAAACTGATTTTGTGTGTGTGTGTGTGTAGCCTTTCGAAATTCTCTGTAGTGCTGATCTAAGGGGTGGAGAACCTTTCTATTCATTCCTTGTAGCTCCCATGCTTCTTGGAAAACCATCTCAGCAGTGGAAAACCACTTTACTGCTTAGAGAGTTTTGCAGTCTGTAAGCAGATGAGTTTTCCCTGGGTGGCTGCCCTTGAAGTCAACCTTCAGGTCCCCTCAGCCAACACACCCGTGGGGCTGTGATTTGTTTCCTCCATCCAGGGTGCAAAATAGCTCACGAAAATGATTATAGCAAAATTCTCCCAATCTCTCCTTTCCCCAGTTTTTTTATCTCCTACAGCTAGAAGATCAGGAGGTCTGTCTTGCCCATAGATTATCAGAAGCTCCTTCTCCTCTGATTTCTTGTTTTCTTCCAGCACCTGTCACCTGGTCCTCATCTTTTTTCCACCCACCTATAGAATCATAGAATTATAGGATGGTTTGTGTTTCAAGGACCCTTAAAGATTGTCTAGATCCATGGGCAGGGAGTCCTTCTAGTAGACTACGTTGCTGTGAGCCCTCCCCAGTCTGGCCTTGAACACTCACAGGGATGGGGCATCCCCAGCTTTTCTTAGCAACCCTGTTCCAGTGCCTCACAGCCTCACAGTGAAGAATTTCTTCTTAATATCTCATCTAAATCCATCCTCTTTCTATTTAAAGCCATCCCCTTTGTCCTTTCACTACATGCCCTGGTAAAGAGTCCCTCCTCATCTTTTCTGTAGGACCAATTTAAGTACTGGAAGACCGATGCAAGTTCTCTCCAAAACCTCTTCTCTTGTCTAGGCTGAACAACCCTAACTCTCTCAGCCTTTCCTCAAAAGGGAGTGCTCCAGCCCTTGGATCATCTTCGTGGCCTTTCTCTGAACCTGCTTGAGTGAATTTTTGCCTTTTTTTGGGCTGGGGGCCTCAGAGCTGATCACAATATTCCGGTACTTACGGCTACAGGCTCTGCCTATCTGCCTTGGCTGAAGTCTTCTCCTCAGCCTTGGTCTCATCTCCTTCTGGCTGCTGTAGTTCCCATTCACCCTCTCAGCTTTAAAAATGTTTTCTTCCCTGCTTGCTTTTGCTGCTTTGCTCCCTTGCAATTTCACCTGAGTGGCTGCAAGAGCCCTAATTGGCACCCATGTTTTGGGAGCCACCTGCATTTACCTCTTCACCACTCCCCCTCCCGCTGAATGCAGCTGAAATGTCACCTGTCCTCTCTTCTTCCCTCCCTCCATGCCCTCCCTCCCTCCCTCGTTTCTCACTCTACCAAAGGTCAACTCACATGCAATGATGCATCCAGAAGCAGTGTGTGCTCAGGACATATAATAAGCACTTGGCTCCTACAGGCTGCATTTCAGCCTTGGGCTTCAATACACTTCAGCAAAATGATGGAGATACTACCTTTCCCTGTGCAGAGGGGCAAGGTGACTCACACAGGGATGCCCAGCCTGCCTCTGCCCAAGCTGGGGGAAAGTGCAAGCCGTCTAATCCCCACCTGATCCTTCTCCTTACCTAGACAGGCAGTCCTGCCTGTCTCTGGGTGTGTTTGCCTGAGAGACATCCCCCCACAGGTGATGTATGTGCATGTGAAGATGCAGATGTGTGGGCACAGGCTGACCTTGTTTTGGCTGTGAGAGCTTGTGCACACGTGTAGGCAGATGTGTGAGTGCTGGAGGGCATTTCTAGGCATTTCTTGGCCATAGTGCCTTTCCCAGCAGCTGGGCTGTCTGCTTGGCTACTTTTCACACTCCTGTGTGGCCAGGCAAGGGGGATATGGACGGTCACCAGGGGCTGATCCAGCACGGAGTCTGGGAGTTACTGGGAGACAGAACATGTGACTGCTATGTCACAGCAGCTTGCTGGCTAATGATGGCTCTATCTCAGCTCAGTGCTGGCTCCTGAGAGTTGTTGGGCTCGGAGTGCCCAGGTTAGCTTGGCAGCCAGCCCACTTAACAGCCACATGTCTTAGACAAGCAGCCTTCTCCCAGGAATTTTGTGTGGCAGCCTTTTTGATAAGGTTGGTGTTGCACTGGCCTGAATTGCAGATGAGAGGGAATCATTCTGAAATGCTCATGACCAATTTGGGACCTTCACCTGAGCCCTGCTCCTCAGTTGACATCAAGGCAGCTCCATTTGGTGGCTCTGGAGTACTGATGGTGACAAGAAGCCACATATCTTTCTTACTCTCATGTACACAGAGTATTTTATGGGTCTCTTCTTGCTGTGTTGTTGTGAGGAGCTGTTCCACATAGGACTCTTCCTCCTCTTCCTCTCCCATTTGCTAATGCTGGAGTCCTTTCCTTCCTGTCCAACCCACTAGCACCTGCTTGCTCTGCACATTGCTGGGCCCTGCCCTATGTGTCCCAGTGGGCTGCATACAGAGCAGGAGAAGGAGAACGCTTTTTCCCTCAAAGCCCGTACAGCAGAGAGGGTAGGATAAGGAGACATGGAGCCTGCTCGTGCTGCAAGCTTGTGATAACTCCTGCTCTTCTTGCGCAGGCCTCCTGAGCAGCCCTTGGGGATGCATAAGGCACACTGCAGTGCCATGCAGATATTAGCTGGTTACCAGCACTGGAGTGGCTGTGTCAGCAGGACAGATTGGTTTGGCCAAGTGTGGTGGCTCCATGGATCTCCTTCAGCTCCAGCTGTACTGTGCGGCCCTCAGTGCTCAGACAGATCATTCTTCTTGCTCCATCCTCAGCAAACGGAGAACTCTTCCCCTGCAATTTTGGTATGCTCCAAGCACTCTCTTCCCACCCTCTGGCAGAGGGCTGGCAGGGGAGCCCGGGGAGCAGGTGCGCCCATGCTGATGGCCGGGTCAGTGGTGTGAAGCCATGGGAAGAGGCAGGCACCCTGCATCAAATTCCCAGCCTGACTCGAAGTGATGGAGCAGAAAGAGTGAGCGACAGGGAGGTCGGGAGGCAGGATGGGAGTGATGAAGGAGCTGGGGGAGGGGAGTGAGAGACTGGGCTGTAGCCTGGGAGCAGAACAACAAATTGGCTTATTATTAACCATAACCCCCGTCCCTTCCTAACCTTGCATCTGATAAACTGTTCTCTGATTCTTCTTTTTTTATTTTTGTGTTCCTTTTTTTTTTTTATTCTCCCTCAGGCGCTGCTTTAGCTCAAATTTAGCCTCCAATATTTATATCTTTCTGTCTCTTCTATTTTCTTTCTTATTTGGAAAATACACTCAAGAGGACTGTGGGACTTAGGAAGAGTTAGAAGCACAGTGTATGCCACATTAGATCAGTTGATCTGTTCCAAGATCTTAATTTCTGCCTATACTTCACCTTCATGGAAAAATTAAACTGCCCATCCCAGTGAAAAATACAGCTCTGTGATGGGAGGTTTGATGAGAAACACCTTCCTTACTCTCCCCATGGCAGTGCACACCTTGAAGTGTCAGGTTTGTTTTCCATTTGATGATATTTGGTATCCAGGAGATTTTCCAGCTGGGTGCTGGTACAGGATGACCCACTGTGTGGATGTTGAGCTGGGACCAGGCAGACCTCGATTTGCATCCACTCTGCAGGGTGATCTTGGATGGATCACCTTCTTTCTCTGGACCTCAGTTTCCTTGTCTCTAGAATGAGAATTAATAAGATGTTCCCTTTCATCAAGTGCTTATATAACATCTCTCCAGCTGAAAAATGCTGGAGGAGATGCCTTGTTTTGTACAATAAAACAGAAAGTACCTCAGCTGTCTCTAGACCTGGAAAATTCCTCACTGATAGCATCAAGTACGTGGAAGGGCATATTCCCCCTGATGAGGGGGAAATCAGTATGCACCATGCTTCAGATAGACCTGGGAAGAGATAATGTTGGGGAAATAATCACCCCAATGGGAAAGGTTCCTCTCAGCTTATATCATGGGGATTTGATCTTGTTTCATCTTGCTCCAGAGCCTAGACTAAGGACTGTTGGATGAAATAAATTTTCAGTTATTTTAGAGGGCAGGTGAATCTCAAATCTTTCATGTTGTGCCAGTTTATGCTTTTGATTCAGGAAAAGGCATCATTGCAGCCACCCCTCTACTGCAGTGGTGAGTCCTGTAATAAAAAGCAAATTTTCCTTTTCAGTCCCATATTGTTTTGTGTCTTTAGTCCACAAGCTTCCCTGCCAGAGGGTACAGTATAATGGAAAAAGGTTGAATCTATCCACATTTTAGGCGTCCTCTACCATTTGAGCTGGAAATTATCTGCTGCCTTTTCTGTGCTTGTGATGCTCTCAGGAAAAGCAGTGTCTCAGTCTAAGTGATGTTTTTCCTGAGCCATAGCAAACATGAATGTGTCTCACCTTTTTGTCGATCTTACTGCATATAGACTTTAATCTCAGTACTTTTCCACTTCTGCCCCTGGTCCCAGGACTTCTTGGCCCAGGCTATGCTGTGCAAACCCATCACGAGGTGGCACCACAAGACTGCCTTTCTTGTTATTTTGTCTTTGTTAAATCTCCCTCATTTTCTCTTACTAGCCCCAGTTGTCCTCTTGTTTTTCAACCTCTTGCTGCTCCATGCCACGCAGCTGACTGCAGACATTTGTCTGGTTTTCTTGGAGGCTCCCCTGGGTCCAAAGCCAGCTGAGATAAAGCAGCTGTTCAAAACATGGCACAGAGCCTCAAAGAGTTAAGACCAAAGTGATGGATGGGTGATGAGAAGGACTATCTGTTATTTGAGGTCCAGGTTTGCTCTCTCTTTTTTTAAGGAGCGGTGAACATGCCTGACAGGAGACACCAGTCTACTCTGGGGTGCTCAATAACCCTTTGCTGCCTTTGTCTCAGCTCCCTGGAGTAGCTGCTGATTGGAGGATGCCTCTTGCCTGCTCTGGCCTCCCTCCGTGTGAGGGCAGGCAGGGGCTGCCTGAAAGAGCCAGGGAGCACAACTGTGCCAAGAGGGTAACAGATCTCTTGGAGGCTGTTGACCTCAACCTAGATAGAGCCTGTCCTTCTGCAACAGGCATTTTGCAAGTGCTTACACACTTGAGGTTAGCTTGCTTATGCTCTTCAAATGAAATGCTGGTCCTTCTTGCTTAGAGGATGATCATGCTGCTCTATGCAGGCTCTGCGTGTTGTCCTTTGGATGATCAGGGGGGTGAAGCAGGTCAAGATGGCTCAACTTTGCTGCTTGCCCACCAGCTGGAAAACCAGCTCACTAATATTTTGAGTGAAGATGAGAAGGTTTTGAGCAAGATGACATACAGATACTGCATGAGACAGTCTCCTAGAGATGGGTGTACCTCAGTCTGGGTCCAAACCCAAGGGATGCCTTGGGGAACCTCAGATCCAGGTTTCATCACTGGGTCTCACAGACCTACATCTAGAGAAGATTCATACAGGACCTTTGAAGACAATGTTCCCCTTCCCAGCAGCAGCTAAGGGAACTGCAAAGGTGATCTTCCTTTCCTAGACTGAGCTGTTGGGTTAAATTAAATTCCATTGCTTGGAGACCTCTCCCTCAAATGCACACCCTCTCATTATGCTTTTCTTTTCCATTGTTGTTTTTCACAGCAAATCACCTTTTTGTAAATGGTTTTTGTCTCCCGTCTAGAAACCTGTCTGCCACCATAGCTCAGAGATGCCCTTTGGGGGCAGAGATTCTTTTTTCCCTTGCACTCTCTTTGTTTCTCTCCTCCGCTGTAGGGACTAATTTATATTTTCCCCTCTTGCCTCTTGCTGAGCTCTTCTTTTTTTACCATCTCCTTCTCCACTGTTTCGGATGAGGAGGGGGGAGTTCAGGGAATCTCACAGCTTGCAGATATTATGGATCCAAGGTGGCTTTCAGTGTAACCAGAAATGGTCCTTGTGTGCTCAACCATCTATTTCAGCTCTGCTACACCACTCTGGGTTTGTAATTTTGGGAAACCCAGACAGGTTTGTGCATGTCCTGCAACCTCATGTATGTGTGCACTCCCTGTCTCCAATGTTAAACTTTTAGAGGGGCTTCTTTTCCAATATGTAAGATGATGCTGTGTTTATCAGGTGGTGTGAAAGGAAGGCAGGACCAGGCAGAGAGGAGGAATGGATGTGTGGGACTCCTCTCTATGGGCACTTGGACCTCCTGTGCAGCTGATGGACAGGTTGCAGCCCATGTCTGAAACATGATGATTGACAAATGGGAAAGCAACCATGGCACCATTATGCCATCAATGTGCAAGACACAGGCACAGGTGTGAGGGAGGGTGCCGTGGGGTGCCAGCCATGTGGGTCCCCTGTGTGAATCCCTAGCTCTGGCAGATCACAGGTGAAAAGAATTGTGCAGGTCTCATCCGGATGTCTTCTGCTGATAACAAAATCCTTTTTCTGGTAGCAAAAGAGGAGAATAGCTGGCAGTGGCTATCAGCTCTTCCTCGTTGAGCACCTGATGCCCAAGTGTGACAGGTGGGTCCTAAGGCATGTCAGCAAAATGGTGTCGTGCCCCAGCGCAGTGGGCTGGAGAAGGCAGGGATGCTCTCTGCCAGCCCTGGGACACATGGCTGGGCTCCAGAGAGGACCTTCATGCTGAAACAATGGGACAAGGGACCTCTGGGAGGGAAAAAATGTCCATCCTGAGAGCTGTGTAACTATCAGGATCAGTGGATTAGGAGGCGGCACGGGATCTGTTTGCCAGCATGGAATGGTTGCTGGGAGCACCAGACCAGGTCTGAAACACATCGGCAGCTCTGTGAGAGGAGCTGTGCTTAAGAGGCACAACACTGAATCATTTTCCAGAAATCCCCTGTCAGTCTAACCATAAACACTGGGGAGAGTGGAAGGTGGGGACGTGTGTTTCTTCAATTTCCTACAACAAAACAAACATAAAGGGGATTATGAAGGCAATGCTGGGGAAAAAGAGAGAAAGATTTAGAAGGGAAGGGAACATTAAGATTTAGAGGGATAAAATACAGATTGAAGTTGTTGGGCCAGAACAGAAGAACTTCTCAGTCTATATATTTAGCTCGGTGAGGTATATAAACAGAAACCTACAGCCAGCTCAGCCACTTCTCCCCCAGTGGAGTGAGTCATCAGCCCTTGGATCTAAAGTTAGGTTCACGTCAGAGCTTGCACTCTCTCATTTTATTTTTCTCTTTCTATTTTGAAGGGTGTGGGAAAAGCTGAGCACCATCTCCTGGAAGCAGCAAATATAAGCCCACAACAGCAACAGATGCTGGACCTGATGCCCTACCTAGGAGCACTGTGACAAAGCCTGATTTCTATCTGGCTGCTCTTCTTCGTTGCTGCATGCCTGGGGATGAGCTCAGCCAACATGTAGCCGTGGCTAACCTGGGCATGCAGTGGACCGAGGTCTGAGGGATCTGTGCACTGTGCAGATGAGCTGGAGAGTGGGATGGGCTGCACAGTCATTCCTGGGGGCAACAGCAACATGATTCTCAGCGATGGTCAGTGTTTGGCTCCTGTATGCTGTGCAGGAGAACAGGATTTACCATCAGGGCTGGCAAGAAGGACTGGGCTGGGTCAGCCTGGCAGGAGGCAGGATGATGCCTGTGAGACCCAGTTAGAGGCTGCCTATAAATCCAGTGTAGGTTGCTGCCTGGTAAGCTCAGCTCACAGCCACCTGCAAACCTGCAGAAGAGAGGGCTGCATCTCCCCAGGCTATTCCTGCAGTCTCTATGCTTTGATATGGCTCCCCCTTTTGTGTTTGTTCCCTCTCCCCTGGTCTAACCTCTGAAACAGTTGCAGTGAATCACATACTTTCCCTATTAACCCACCAGCCAGTGCTGCTGGCTCAGATAGTGACAGGGACAATGTGAACTTTCCAATTCCTCTCAAAATCACAGAGAGGACAGTGAGGGACCCCTGGAAATGCTCTGGATGCATCTGTAGGACCAGCTTGTGCCATACTCACCTCTGGTGTGATCTACCCCCAGATCTCTCCCAAGAGAGCCCACCTGTATCACTCAGGGTAGATGACAAAGCTCTTTGAAAGTGCCTTGGGGTTGAAGATGGAGCCCTGTGACTCCTGTGAGCTGCAGAACAAGGAGACATTCATCTTCAGTCTCTTCCCTTGCGGATGGTGGAGAGGAGGGTCTTGTTCAGGAAGGGTATAGAATAGAATCATAGAATCATAGAATCGATTGGGTTGGAAAAGACCTCCGAGATCATCGAGTCCAACCCTTGGTCCAAATCCAGTCCACTTACTAGATCATGGCACTCAGTGCCACGTCCAATCTGCGTTTAAAAATCTCCAGGGATGGTGAATCCACCACCTCTCTGGGCAGCCCATTCCAATGCCTGATTACTCTCTCTGTAAAGACTTTTCTCCTGATATCCAACTTAAATTTCCCCTGGCGGAGCTTAAGCCCGTGCCCCCTTGTCCTATTGCTGAGTGCCTGAGAGAAGAGACCAACTAGAACTTCCCTTCAGGTAGTTATAGACGGTGATGAGGTCACCTCTGAGCCTCCTCTTCTCCAGGCTAAACAACCCCAGCTCCCTCAGCCTCTCCCCATAGGACTTATGCTCCAGTCCCTTCACCAGCCTTGTTGCGCTTCTCTGGACCCGCTCCAGCACCTCAATATCCTTTCTGAACTGAGGGGCCCAGAACTGAACACAATACTCAAGGTGTGGCCTCACCAACGCAGAGTACAGGGGAAGGATCACTGCCCTGCTCCTGCTGGCCACGCTATTTTTGATACAGGACAAGATCCCATTGGCCTTCTTGGCCACCTGGGCACACTGTTGGCTCATGTTGAGCTTCCTGTCAATTAGTACCCCCAGGTCCCTTTCTGCCTGGCTGCTTTCCAGCCACTCTGTGCCCAGCCGGTAGCGCTGCAGGGGGTTGTTGTGGCCAAAGTGCAGGACCCGGCACTTGGCTTTATTGAACTTCATCCCATTGGAATCAGCCCATCTCTCAAGTCTATCCAGATCCCTCTGCAGAGCCCTCCTGCCTTCCAGCAGGAAGGGTAGTGGCTTCCCAGCCCAAGGCTTGAAATTGCTGCTGTGGGGAATGCCTGTGGTGTAGGTACCAGCAAACCCATGGAAATCCTCCTCAGTATGTACAGATGAGGAGGCGTGTGGAGATGAGGGGGCTCTGCTCTGGAGCATGAGCTGCCCTGGGCTTGGTTTTTTCACCAGCTCCAAATCTGTGAAGTGATGAGTGGCATGGCTCCATTTCCCCACACAGCCCCTTTCCCTCTCCCCTCCTTCCAGGCTTGTTGTGTGTCTTTATTGATTTGGATGGTTTGTCTGAGTGAGAGTTCAAATGTCTCACTATCCCCATGAGTGGGCAAGCAAACAGACAAACAGATATGATCCTGGAATGTAGACATGAGTGATGACCCACAGATTATCCTGAGTGTGTGTTTGTGTGCCTCTGTTCTTCTGTGCTCCTCTGCATGTACTCTTCCTCTTCCTTTACCATTTTAGTTTTTTTACCTCTCCTTGCTGCTCTGTTTCTCCATCCTGCTTCACCCTCTCCCTCTCTCTCCTGCCCTCCTCCTCATTCTCTTTTTCTCATTTGATATTCATGCATGAATAAATTCAATTGCATTTTTCCCTGTTCCCCCTGAAGGGGCTTGTTGGTGAATTGCCAGCATCTGAAATCATATAATGCTCAGATTCATCATTTTGGGGACAGAACTGAAGCCCTTCTATTTCTCAGGAAGGAATAACAGATGCTTTTCATGAAGAGAGGGAGTAGCGAGTGTCTTATGTCTCGTGGTTGGTGAGGAAGAAGCCAAGGGAATTAACTTTGGCAGCACAGGGTGGACTTGCTAGCAGAGGGGACTAGAAGGTCAACCAGCCCCTCTGGTGTAAGGCACACATAGGTGTGTGCATATGGAGTGTGAGTGCCTATGGTTGCTGGCATGTTTGCTGCGTGTGGTGCTAGTGGTGCGCTTAGGGATGGGTAATATCTCTTAGCGGGCTGCCCAGAATTGGTTGCAGCGGGAGCTGTCTCGGTGGGGTGTCAGCAGCCTGGCACCAGGGTATTTAGAGCCATTGTCTAGAGATCTGCCTGGGCATCTGCCTCAGGCGACTTTTGGGACACTTACATGGCTCTGGTATCACCCCAAACTACTGTGGGTCTGGAGTTGTGCCCAGCGCCACATCTCCATCACACTGAGAAGCTGAGGTTGTTATGTCACAAAATCATGCCCATCCTGCACATTGAGGGGCTTCCTGATGTGGATGGGCACTTGCTATCTCCCTGCTTCGACATGGGAGCCTTCCAACTCATGCAGGACAGTGAACCCAGGGTCCAAAAGTGATCAGATCCTGCACAGCTTCAATACAAACAGGCTCTGACCCATTGTGGGAAGAAGTCTGACCACCACAAAATTTTTTTTCCTTGGAAAAAAATCTCTTTCCATCTTGTGGAAGATGCATAAGTTCACCATGGAACTGCAGCCCTGGTCAGACGACATGGGCTGTACTTATCTGAGGAAGGGCTGTTTTTCATGGGAGCTGTTAATCAGGTAAATTTGATGCTCACAACATTCCCATTGTTTACAGCATTGCTATTTTTTTTTTTTAGCAGTCTTGGTGTAGCCTGAGGATCCTCTGAGGACTGTGTTTGCCTTTCAGGAGAGGTAACAAGATTAGACACTTTATTAAGCACAAAAGTGTCATGCTAAAAGCGGACAGCAGCCATCGTCTTTGTTCAAAAGACTTTTAAGGGCCTCATGAGAGAGAGTGACATGCCAACCACCTTGCTCCAAGGCTCCAAGGAGCTTGGCTGATGTGATGTAAATGGCTAGAGGCTCCTTGACATCTACCTCACATCCCTGGCATGACAAAGCCAAGCCACACGGACACGAATGGCAGAGGAGAGGATATCTACTGGGTGTTTTTCACCCTAAATGGTGAAGGCATGTGAGCTACCTTGAGCTAAAACCAGAGTGGTTCTGACTTTACCAGAAGGTGGGCTTGCTCCATTGGCTTCCCACAGAGAGTTAACGTCCGAGGGCCCGTTTCACAGGATGACTAAAGTGCTTGGTTTCCCAGCCATTTGTAGTTTAGATGTGTTAATTACTCTGACCCTGCTATTCCAGCCATGCACGAAAAGCTGTGATAGTTGGTGCAGATATCGTCGTGGCAAGGAAGGTTTGGTTTGGAGAGGCTTTGTGTATCCCTGCAAGGAAGCCGAGGTGCTTTTGGGCTGTAGTGCATGTTGTACCATACCTCAACTCGTAACTTGGCAATTTTTAGCTCCTTATTTACAATATATGCCCACAGCAGAAGCAGGAATGTCTATCTCTCATAACACCAGGGGTTTTATTGTCTGAACAGGCAAAATCCGTGAAAAGCCTTGAGGACTGTGATGGCTTCATCTCTTTCCCAGACCTGACTCAGGGGTCCCCAGCAGAAAAATGCTCCAAGAATTAGGGCCCTGTGCTGACACAGGGTAGGGCTGCTCAGCCTTGGAATGGGACCTGTGGAGGAGATGCTGGGCTAGCCATCCATTGGATGAGGCTGAGGGCAGCTGTACTCTGTTTAGGCACTGGAAGGTGGGATCCCTGCATGTTATCCATCCCCCTCATTTCCCCCTGGAAATATTGTTCCCACCATCTGAGTTCCCGTAACAGACCTAGTAGTAGGATAGGGGGAAAGAAGGGACTGGTTTTGAGGAAAGGACTTGGGGGGGGGATTGTTAGTTTATTTTTTTAACTCTTCCCAAGGGATAATTCTCTAACCTGCTTGATCTGTGACTTGTGGAGGGACAGATGTTTACAAGTTCAGGGAAAGGCAGGCACGCTGAAAGCCTGTGTCCATCAGAAAAGGAATGATGAGTGGGCTGAAGGCAAGGACAAATCAGCTGTCCTGAGACCCCACCATGGATGTGAGTGTGTGATGGTGTACAAGGAGATTTCTTCCTTTCCCCCAGTGTTGTTAGAATTCCTGCATTCTCTACCTCTAATTGTAGGTTTCCCCAGAAGACATTTGGTGTCACTGTAAGGACGGCGTTTCATTCTCCCTCTCTGCCTGTACAGTTATTCTCGCTCTCTCACTGTGCAGTTTGCTCCATAAGCTGTTGGTGAACATATCATGAGACAGAGAGAGAGAGAGACAGACAGGCAGAAACCACATACCAGCCCTTCCTCCTCACTTTCCCATCATGGAATAGCTAACCTTGCCCTCACCCACACCTCCATCACCTCTCAGCATCCCACAAATATTTTGACCCTCTCTGGTCTTTTTGGCAGGAAGCTTCAGTCACTTCTTAACACCACCTGCCTGGAAAAACATACAGACAAAGCCCCCCCAAACCCTCCTGAGAAGGAATAGGTCCTTTTTTAAACCTCTTTTCATTTGCTCTGACCCTGGAGCTTCAGACTCCAGCCTGAGCAGCTACAATTTCTTACCATGTATTCCCCTTTTAAACCATCTCCTTCCTGCACACGCTCAGTCCTTGCAGGCACGGATCTAACACAACTCCTCGCTTCTCGCCGGCAGGTTCTTTGCTCCCCATCACTCAGCTGATCCTGATCTTTTTTTTCCT